CCTTTTGCCTCATAGGATCAATGTTAAAGATCTGCTCAAATGGTGACCTTATCGTTTCAAGTATCTCATAGAAAGGTCTTCTTTGTCCTTTATTGGCTTTTATGTTAATTTGCATATGATTCTACCTTTCATACTTTGCAGTAACTCGGAGGTGAACAGTTCTTCGCTTAAGAATTTGGTTTAAATTTTCTTCCAAATCACTTTTTTCTCAAGTTGTCCGAGCCTAAAAAAATTCTAAAAGAAGGAAGTATCAACTACGAAGGAGTTTATGTCTTATATAGTTTGGAAAGTCCAGTAGCTTGATCATTTGTACCGCCCTTAAAAAAAGTTCCGACTGTTTTGGTTCGTAAGGAAATGCGCGTTTGTTGTTCAAATATCTGATCTTTAGGGTGAAACTGACTATACTATTGTAAAAGCTCATAAATGAATTCATAAGACAGTATATAAGAATGCATTGTTTCTCTTTGATTATCTTATGCAAATTATTATGTTTTCTCATTTCACTTGTATAAATATACACTTCAATCGTAAAACGCCAAATGCTTGACGACATTTAGGTTCCAACCTATTCCAATTTTTTAAGACGGTTATGTACAGTCAAACACATGTACTTGTTGACAAGGTGATCATCTAAATCGGAATGTAAAAGTGTGTTGCGTCTTTTCTTTACTTTCACTAGCTTGTCACCTCAATAGTAGAGACTCTCTTGATCTTTCCTTCTACATTAGTATGACTGAAGCATGTAAAAAGAAACAATAGATAACAAAGACTTTTCTAGGTGTCCCTAAAATCGAGTTTCGCCAACGCCATTTGAGATGTATCTTTGTTATTGTACGGTCGCATTCTCGTGATCATTTGTACCTATATTTATAACATTACTCAACTTCTATTCAAAAAAAAACCAACTTCCTTGTACATTCAATGTTGTGCTAGAATTCTTAGTAATAACCCTGTTTAACTCAGTTTCGCTACACTGGACAAGATACATTCTCAGAAAAGTAATTATGTTATTTACATGTACTCCCTTTACGTAAGTTGCAGTATGGAAAAAGTG